ATTCCATATCTTTAGCAGTGCTCTCTTTTTTAATGTCTTCCTGGTCTGATTTTAATGAATCACATCAGCATTCTTCTGCTTACTGTTTGCGTCGTGTATGATCTTTCCACCTTTTAATCTGTAATCTCTGTTTTTATGTTTAAAATACACCTTAGGACATACTGCATCTTGCTTTTTAAACTAGTCTGCCATCTTTTTTGACTTTCAAACATTTAGACCATTTACATTTAATGGAACTTATGCTTGGGTTTTATCTTTGATTTTTTTTTTTTTTTTTTTTGCTTCCTACATTAATTGTTCACCACATTTTCCTTTTATGTCTTTCTTTGGTTTGATTTTTTTTCAGTATTCTCTTATACTTCTACTGTCTCTTAAACCATATTCCTTGTTGTTTTTATAGTATGGTGTGGTGTATTGTATACCATTGTTGCTCAATGTACATCAGATTTATGTTTACATGAAACACAAATGTCAATATCCTATCTTAGAGCTCTGAAAAAAAGGACAGTGAGTAAAAATTCCTGGTAAGTTCTTAGGTGATGCTTATATACCAGACACCATAGCTTGAGACCATTGCTAAAGATAACAATATATGTGTATATATTCTTATTACTGTAGACTACCTAGAATTCATCTATACCATTTCAAATATAACACCCAAAACCTGCAGTATTGGAATTTTCTTTCATATCCCATTTTATACCCTATTCTTAGTACTGTGTTGACAGGTATTTTGTATATGTGTATTTTGAAAGTCTCATAATGTGTTTTTATTATTTTTCTAAAAATCTTCCCATGTATTTACTATTTTCAAATCTCACTTTTTCTGTATGCCCAAATTTCCATTTGCATTAGTTTTCTTAAGCATGAAGAGCTTTGTTTTTTATTCCTTACAATGTAATTCTGTCACTGACAAATTTTCATAGCTCCTGTTTATCCAAAGGGGGGAAAATCTTCATTTCTCCTTGATTTGGAGAACTGCTTTTAAAATTCAAGATTAACAGTCTGTAAAGATACAACATGGCCTCTTTTAGGCCTCAAGAGTTTTTAAAACGTATTTGAGTTAGTTCTTTGAGAATTCCATACATTGTAGTTTGATTACTAACCCCCGCTTCACCTCCTCCCAGGTCTGCCCCCCACCCATATCATACAACTCAACTTTGTGTCCTCATTTAAAAAAACAAAACCATTTCATGCTGGCTGTACACCCTTGGGTATGTGGCCATCCACTGCAGTGTTCAACTTCCCAGGGGCCACACCCTAAAGAAAACTAAGCCTCTCTCTCCCAGCAGCTATCAATTGTCAGTAGCTCTGGCCTTAGTTATTTTCATCAAAAATTACTACTCAGCCTTGTTCCTCTTGTGTAATGTAGCTTTCCCCACCATATCCAACTGCTTTTATGAACTTTGTCTTTGTATTTCAGATATTTGGCTGTATCATGCTTCAGTTATTTTGTTTCTATTTATCTTTTGGCATTAAAAAATTAAATTAGAATATCTTCACATATATTTTCTGATGTATTCTTTCTTTTCTTCTGGGACTCTAATTACATATGTATTAAATAATTTGTTCTGTCCCACATACTATTGATGTTTTATTCACTTACTTTTGAATTATTTTCTCCTTGTGTTTTAGTTAGAACTATTTCTGGTTTTATTTATTTGATTTCATTGATGCCTTCTTGTTGAACACCCAGTATCTTGATCATTCTAAGCAGTAGCTCTTACATGCTCCACATTTCACTTAATTTTCCATCTGTTTTTGCTTGTCTGTCTGTCTGTCCCGTTTGCAGGCTCTGTCGCTGGCCCTCATTCTTTACTCCTTGGTCATCTTTTTACATACTCTAACTCACAGGTGCTTCTAATTTCAGCCTGTAGGTTATCTATGAAGCTCTTTCACTGACTGACTTTCTTCTGTTGACTCTGGCTCATATTTTCTGTTTGTATGTTCCTATTGTTATTGTAGTCTACCTATTCTGAGGATTCTGCGTTTTGTTACAGTTCCCTGAAAGATGATAAATTTTAATCAAGTGGTCAGCTAAATCACTGGCAGTCACCTTGAACTTGTAGAGCCTTTGTTTTATTCACTTTTTGATTTTGGGGACTCTATTTTGCCCTAATTGTGGGGTACAGTATCTCTTTGTAGGGCATGAACCTTTTAGGATTTCAAAGGAACGTGAGAAGTCTTTTTGTCTCCTTAGTTTTGTGGAACTACGTTCTCCTCTGGCAGGCAGCTCCTGAGATGTCTGCTAACCTATTTCAGCCTTGAATTGTACTTTATCCTGAATGCTTTGATATCTCATGATCATTTCTGGAGTCTCTTCTCCAGCCTCACATACCCTACTTCCCAGTACTTTCTCCTTCAATCTCCATCTTTCACGACAGTCCCGAAACCTGTCTTTTTGCTTGATTAAGGATTTTTTGCTTGGTTTGTTTCTAGCCATCTTGTATGACATGGGTCACAAGGCTGGGTGGGGGCGGGTGGGGGGCTAATCAACCACAAGACCTTGCCGAGAGGGACTCTCCTTTCAGTGGTCAGTTGCCTCCAGGGTCTCCCTGCATTGGCGCACTCCTAGGCAACTTTTCATTTTTTACCCCAACCCTTTGTTGGAAAGTTCATAAGTATGTGCAGGAGACTTACCTACTGTAGACTGTCATGTCATTGCTCAGATAAAGAATTGCCTCACAATTGATAAGTAACTCAATATGAAATCAAGTTTATTTTCCTTAGCCACTTAGCTTTCTTTTTAACCCAAAATTACTCCTCTGGTTCTCTATATGCTGACTAGTATACAGCTACTTATTTTCATATAGGCATCTCTGAACTTTCATGGAGACCTGTAAGAGTGGCCCCTACTTCCTCTCTACTAATCTGTCACATAATCTTCAGATTTATCTTTCTGAAGCATGGATCTGGACCTAACAGTCTGTAAGCAGGAATCGGCAGTAGCATCACAGGACTTGCTAAGTGACTGCTGAGTCCCTTGGCTGTCATTCCTGGCCACCACTGTCTAGTCAGGATTCTGATTGTCTGTGATGTTAGTATTTCTGTCAAAATTATTCCACGGAGTCTACAATGTGACTTCCTCTGGATTAGCTACCGTAGCCCAAGAGCACAGGCTTTACAAGGGAAATGAACAGGATTGAAGGCACCCAGATCCATTCTCATTTTTTATTCAGTTTGTTTTTGTTGATGAGACACAAATCACACATTTATATAAGTGCAATTTAGATTTTTAATGCTGTGGCTAAAGCGATGGCTCAGTGGTTAAGAACAATGGCTGATCCTCCAGAGGACCCATGTTTGATTCCTCACACCCACATGATGGTCCACAAACAACTGTATGTAATTCCAGTTACAAAAGATCCAGTACCTTCTTCTGGCCTCTCCAGGTACCATGGATATGAATGGAGCACAGACAAAGTAGCCCAGACAGAGGAGCACCAATAGATAGTCAGGCAAAACCCACAGACATTTTTTAAAATTGTAATTGAATTTTACAGATCTTTAGTGTTTGCACAACTGAAAGGTATGTAACAGAATTGTCTGGCATCTATTATAAGACGTCAGCGCCGTCTCCTGCAGTTCTCCTGTCCTGTGTGACAGGTGGAACACAGCCCAGGAAGGAAACCATTCTGCAGTTGTTATAGGAGCCTGTATCTTTAAAGGATGCTGACCATATATTCATCCTGGCCTTTGAAAGCCACACATTCTAAAAAGAACAATCAGAGAAAAATCTTCCGTGGGCATGGAAGATGGAGACCATTTCTAGCTCATTCTTATATACCAATGAGACTTGTTTACATTTATTACCAATCTATAGAAATGAAAATAAATTTACACCCCATGAGACCAATGCCTTATGCAAATGTCTTGTGACCATAAATCCTTGGTGAATTGAAATAAATTAAAATTACAGTTCATTATTTCTTTAGACTTTAAAGTTGACTCAATTCATTGTGAGTTACAGATGAAACCTGTGGTTGGGCATTCACTCTCATATGATGCAAAAAGCACATAATGCCAATTGCCAGTGGAAATTCTGCCGAGTAAAGTAAGTGTGCTTTACTCAAAGAATGTTCCATTGTTTATCATTTCCAAAGAGTGTTTTCCACATGCTGTTAGACCACCAGCAAATTATATTGCCAACAGTTCTTTAGAAAGCCGTCCAGCCTCAGGAAGACCAGCACCACCGGCCCTTTTGAATTGTGTTTCTGATGCTGTGTTTCGTCACTTTACCAATTCGAGCTGGAGTTCCTCCTTCTGGAGAACAACCGTGGAGACCATTGCCTGGCATTTGCAATAAGCGTGTCCTAAGGCTCCAGTGTTATTTTAAGTGATTTATTGTATTAAGTGATACATGTTGTTTCGTTGGATACTTACTATAATTAGAGGTTGTCAATGAAGGGGACATGACAGTAAAGGGCTGAAGAAAGGAGCCTAGCCTGGTCACTGGGTTATAGTATTAGTAAGACCCTCTTGTATTCGCTTATGTTTGTGAGTCATCCTCAGACCTCTCTGTAGTCTGTGCTCACCCACCATATGCTCTCACCGTTTCATGACTTACATAACAGCCCCAGCTGACAGCATGGCAACCCCAGACCTCTTCCTCACTCCATACCTGGATGTCCAACTGCCAACACCTTTACTTGGAGGCATGTGACTTACCATGCCCAAGACCTAATGTGAATTTGAAAGTCTTTGTAGTGAAATCGCATGCGTCAGTGGTAACCAGATGTCTTAGTTAGGGTTGCTCAGGCCCCATTCTTATAGAACCCAGGACCACCAGCCCAGGAGTGGCACCACAGGGAAGTAAAGTCTTAGCAGTGTTAAGTTGCCAGCCTCTTGCCTCTGTTATCCATAAACCCTGCTTGCCTCTACTATGTTGAAGAAGAAATGTCCACATAGGAAAGGATCAAGAGCCCAATTCTGATTATACTTGTTATATTTTATTCTAGTCTGGTAGTTGCTATTTTAACATTTTTTTATTATTAAATCAGGGCAACACAACTATTTATGTGCTGGAAGGAACGATTGCATCATTGATAAGATTCGGCGGAAGAACTGTCCTGCCTGCAGACTCCAGAAATGTCTTCAAGCTGGTATGAACTTAGGAGGTAAGTGTTGTGAGCTTAGCTTGATATGCATTGTAACATCAGTAGAGTCTGCGTACTGCCAAAAGCAAGGGTGGGACTAATGTGAAACAAAATTTCTAAAGATCCATAAAACAAAGTTCTGTTATCATAGTGATGTGTTTTCACAGGGAATTAAAAGGAGACAGCTATAGTTTGCTAAGTTTCAAGGATTGGGTCTTCAGCCAAAACCCAAACAAAAAAGATTACTGTTTTGCATAAAATTATAGATGATGATTATCATCTCTGTCTCTTTAGATGATAGCATGTGACATATAGCAACGTATTCTTAATGCCAAGAGTAAAATATATAAGAGAAAATACTGCAAAATGGTTCGTCAAAAGAAGTGGAAAGAATAAAGGACTTAGAACCAACACTTTTCCACCATTAAGAAAGCCAAGTGAGGTTAATACAGACTTATCTTCACAATGTTGCTCAGCAAAAACAAATTAAGGTTGCAAAATAGGGTATTTCCATACTATGGATTGTATATCTATTTTAGAAAAACAGTAGACTGTACAGGAAGAAGAACTGATTGCTACCATATATCCCTGTGCACCTTAGAATTTTGTTACATTAGAACCCTGTATGGTGTGCACATTACATACCTAAAAGAAATAAAATATTAGAAAATGTAATAAAGAACAACTTCATTCTCCTTTTGTCTTGGTGAATGAATTTGCTCTTGGCTAGTGTGGCATGGCTGCCTATGTGACAGAGTAACTCTTGGGCGTCAAGCGGGGGATGAAGTTGGTTAGGGAAGATGGTGACCATGAAAGCATGTCAGAGGGTCTTACCAAGAGCTCAAAGAATGGCCCCTATGGTGAGAGATGGACAGAGACCTCTGTCCTGTCCCTCCTGGCCTTGTAGCTTCAGGCATGTTACCCCTAGCCTATGCCTACTGCCCTTATCATCTGCCTGTGTTGAACAGTGGGATGAGTCTTTCTCCTTAGACTTCCTTGAACCGTCAACCTCCAAATAACGATGTAGAGACTCCAATACAGAGCTGCTTCTTAGGAAACCCAATGGCTTAGCAGCAGTAACAACAACTCCTGGCAAGCACAATTTAAATGTTTAGTATTATTTTTAAATTCCACCAAAGGATCATTTTGTTTCTGTATACTTTTAATTCCTTTGTCCACAGTGACATACTAGTATCCCATAGGCCCATGCTGAATATGAATGACTGACTTCCATTTCCAATGACTTCTGTGCATTGTAAAGATGAAAAGAATTCTCCCACACCCCACATATTAAACAATTTAAGTCATATGGGGAGGGTCGTATGGGTATCTTTATATGGAGAGTAAATGAATAGAGGGGATGAATGGGCCAGGGACAGCTGTCCACATACTGGTATGATGTTGGACTTTGAATTTCTTCTGAGCTGTGAACTTGTTCATCCATGGATGAATTGCCAGGGAAACAGTAAAAGGCAACTGTTTCTTTTTGATTGATCCATGCTCTAAGTAGATAGGAGAGTTTCAGAAAAAAACCCTCTCAGCATTTCGTTCCATAAGAAGGGACAAGAAACAGTATTGGGTGAAGGTCCAAAACACCTTGGTTCTCAGTCCAAAGGCCTCAGTATATCCAACCGCCACACTTCAGGGTGTACCAGGCTTTTTCTTTTGGTCTACCAACCAGCTCCCAAATCGTGACACTGAGACTTCTTATTAGTTATGAATGCTCGGCCTGAGTTTAGTCTCGTTTCTTGCTAGCTCTTTTAGCTTAACCTGTTTCTCTCCATCTGTTTTGCCTCTGGGCTTTTTACCTTTCTTTCTGTATATGTATGTATATCTTACTTTCTTGCTTCCTCTAGTGTCTGGCTGGCAGCTGCCTGGTTTCCGGCCCTGGGTGTGACCCCCTCTTTCTCCCTTGTTCTCGTCTCCTCTCCTCTTGTTCTCTTCTCTTCTCTTCTACTCATCTCTCTGCCTGCCAACCCTGCCTATCCCTCTCCTGCCTAGCTATTGGCAATTCAGCTTTTTACAGACCAATCAGGTACCTTAGGCAGGCAATGTGAAAAAAATGTAACACATCCTTATATTGTTAAACAAATGCAGCATAAACAAATGTAACACACCTCTATACAGTTAAATATCTGTAGCATAAACAAATATAACACATCTTTACATAGTTAAAATAATATTCCACAACATCGGGGCTTCACTTTCTGAGCCCAAACAGCACTGTACAAGCCCTCTTCTGTCTGCCCTCCAGGCTAAACCTCATGGCATCGCTATTAATGTGTCCATTTTACAGTGGGTTAATGGATGCATTGACAAACCAAAGAGCTGGCACACACCCCGGGGCATAGCAGCAGCCACTCAGATCTCTGCTCCTGGAGCCAAGGCCATGCCTAGCATTACTCTGCCATACAGAGTGGAGTGCTATGGTTCAGATTGACTCGGGTTATCTAAGAATAGCACTGTGGCACACAGGTGTCTTCCCTGTGTCTGTGGTTGATCACCAGTAAGCCAAGTGTGGCACGGGACACGACAGACACAGAAGTCGTGACTAGTTGGGTTCAGTGCACATAGGAAGAACCTTTTTGACTCCTGATGCCGCTGACAGTCGAGAGCAGGTGATGGAAAGCATAGAAACTGACATTCAGGGGGTTGTTTTCTTCAGTTCATGTAGAGTTCAAGGATTCTGTGGACCGATACTCAGCTTTGTTTGTTCAGGTGGAATAACCTTCCTCCTCCTGCTGCTCCTCCTCCTCTTCTTCCTCCTTCTCCTTCTTCCTCCTCCTCCTCTTTTTCCTTCTTCTTATTCTTTCCTCATAATTTCTTACCAAGCCTTGCTTTTGGTTTCAGTTTGGAACAGAAAACACAAATGGTTTTATCATGTTACAAGAAGATAATAGGGTGTTTCGCCTTTAATGTGGAGCAATTGCTATAATTAAAAATGTGAATTAAGTTCAAACCTTTTCAGATATGTGCCAGCTTCACAAGCTGTGCTTTCCAGTGTAGGGGGAAGCTTCTCAGTCCTACCTAGCCCCATGGTCCAGACGAATCTCTCCCACCCAAGCTCTCGCAGCTGCTTATAAAATAATCACACTAAGGCTTATATTAATTATAAACTGTATGGCCTATGGCTCAGGCTTCTTGCTAGCTAGCTCTTTCATTTTAAACTAACCCATTTCTATTAACCTATATGTTGCCACGTGGCCATGGCATTACCAGTCTGCTGGTATCTTGTTGCTCCTTGGGCGTTGGGCTGGCATCTCTCCTGACTCCGCCCTTCTTCATCTCCATCTTCAGTTTGAATGTACCACCTAACCTTATTCTGCCTCATCACTGGTCAAACATCTTTATTTATCAACCAGTGAGAGCAACACATATTCACAGGTCCAAGTTACTTTAAAATCCTTTTTTTTTTTTTTCTCCTGATGCTGACAGTTGATTTACAGGCATTCCTGACCATACTCCTGAAGTCACCTCTGCTTAGAAGGAGGGAGGGATGAAGGGGGAGGGAGGGGGAAGGAGAGGAAGGGAGCGAGGGAGAAGGAAGGTGGGCAGGAGGTGGGCAGGCAGTCAGAAAGGAAGAAAGGAAGGAAGGAAGGTGGGCAGGCGGGTGGGCAGGCAGGCAGGAAGGAAGGCAGACAGGCTTGCTTAATGTTAAAGCTGTAAAATGCTCTCTAGACCCCCCGGCTCCCTCCTGCCTGAGTACTGTTTCCTTCTTTAAAGTCCTGCTGAGCTTCAGCAGAGGATGTGAGAGTGTCAGTAGAGAAAAGGGAAGGAAAACCACTTCTGACCCCAGCCGAACCTGCCACTCTGGCTACTGCCCATGTTACTAGATCTTAAAGCCCTCAAGTGACATGCAGAGGGACCTGCTGCTTTCTGGAGACTGCCCCAAAGGAATTCATGCCTTTGTTCTCACACTCCAGTGATCCATACAGGACTTGTCTTCTCCTCTAAAATATATGGAGCACAGAACTGCAGCTAAAGGGCCCTCAGACCCGGAAATCCTCTCCAGTGATCCTGGCTAAACTATGCCCTGGCCAGAGAGCAGGTCTTTCTGTTCTCTTCAACCCATTTTATAGATATGGAACCTGGAGTCCAAGATCCTATCAGTACAAAATTTAAAAATGCAATCCATGGTCCTAATTATCTTCTTCACTCTTCTCAGCCACACCCTACCTTATTTCTTTCACACTCCACAAGGTGCACAAGAAAGTTTTCATATTCCTTTAATGGAGATTCTAGAATATTTAAATCCCATTTTCTTGTAAATTTAAGAATACAGACTCAACGAATGAATAGGAATAAAGTGGATCTTGTGGGCCACAGTGTGTCTCTGAGTCCAGCTCCTTATTCTGGTGTGTTACTTCCATCATGCAAAGCGTTCCTTCACAGGAATTGTAACTACATGGAGTCCAAGTCCTTTTTCTCTTAGGAGAGGACATGTCGGACACAAGGACACAAGGGGCACAGAAGGCATCATGATTGCTTTGAATATGGACGGTAGCGAGGCAGCAAAGCGACAGGACACAGTGCTGGGAATGCTCACAGAATGACGCTCGGTGCCTTCCTGAGGAGAGGAGCCACAGCTGTGGGAACACCTGAAACCAGGCTCATGCTGCAGTGGTTTGCCCAAGAGAATTATGACTGTGGATGTTGAGAACTCCATTAAATGTTTTCTGTGAAAACATGACTAACACGGAAAAAGTACTAAGACTCGGCAAGATTGTTTAGACTTTTTTTATTCTGTGATTACAGCTTCACGTATGTGCAGAGGCTGCATGAGTCAAGAAGCTAGGAAAAGATGTCAGTGACGTGGGATAATGGATACATGGTTATCCATTCTTTCCCTGTTTATTAGTAATATTAATGTTTTAAAGAAAATAAGGTGTTCACAATTTTGAGCCAAGAATGGATGCTTAAGACTAATGACATTGAACTAGACACTCCAAGGAGTTAGCCATTGGACAGGAAGGAGGGGAGAGTGACTAAGACATCCTCCGCCTGCTGGAAAACCCCCTAAA